GGACTTGGTTCTATGGTAGGTCTTAAAGGGTTAAAAGAATGTATTAATGCAACTAGATGGGGAAACTTGAAAAAGAGGTCTTTTTTAGTGCTTGTTTGCTGCCAAGTGTCTATTTGCATCTTTTAATCAATCTGTGGGTGAGCTCCATGTTTCCTATGCAAAGCTAGTCAGCCAACACCCAACAAATTCAAATGACTCTTGCAACATGTTTCATATGAAGACAAACCATTTTATCACTCTTTTCCAAATCAAAAACATCAAGTTATTATAACAGATTTGTCCATTTGATCCTGGACTTGACTTGGAAACAAACATTTTTGTGGTTTTGTTAGTTATTACTAACAAACACTAAATAGTCAGTGGTCAAAGGTAAAAATAATACACCACACCATAATTCTTCCACTTTGTTGACTCTTGAAAGAAAAAATTTTTAATTTAGCTGTTTTTAGCTTTATTACTGAATTCCATTATAGTAGTGGTGCATTCTTCATGCGTTCTTTCTCTTTTGCATACTGCCTGTTTTTACTCTTCCTCTGAAACAGCCATTTTATACAGGTTGGTGTGTAAATGAATCAGTTGTGGGGATTGAATGGAACTGAATGCTGCTTTGTTAGCCAACATGTTAGACGAATCTTACCAAATAGTCAGTAGACCAGAAAATAACAGGAAAATTAGACCAAGAACCTTGGAAACAATGTCATTGCTTATAACAAAGCTGATGGGGAAACAAACAAACTTGAATGCTCCCTAGTATGAACAGAATTCATATTAGACAATTTCCAGCCCTAACTATAAACTTTGTCAATATAAGTCAAGTCCCTAACTGACTAACTGCTGCTAGACCATTTCCAATGCTCAGAGTGTCATTGGTAACCTGCCAGTGAAATGACCTTCATGCAGAAACAACTCAAGAGAGCATTTACAGCTGATCTAATTAACACTATCTGCTCTTTCAGGCCTTATCCAATTCCCTCACACATGTTTACACACTTCTTTGTCATTATTTGAAACGTTTAATATGAGCATCTGTTGAAAATTGTCAAGTGTCTGATTGCCAGAACTTTAGTTGATAAGTCTCCAGGTCCTGTCACAGCATCTAGGATTAAGGTCACTGAGCAGAAGTCAGTGGATGAAATGACAAAGACAGATTCTGAAAGAAGTGGCCATCTTTTAGCAGAAGTAGTCGGTAAATCTCTGCATATATATATATATATATATACACACACACACACACACACACACACACA